GGCACGGAAGTGATGTAATTTACATGGTATCAAGGTCAGGAGGAATAAATGTGATACTGTGGGTAATTTTTGTGTTTAAATGTGAGCTGTAATAACCATTTCTCCGTGCATCTACCTAACCATGTCACTGCGGCTAATGAATATTTCAGAGTGCTAATAATCTTGTAATGGAAATTTTTTCCAGTGTACAGTATAGTGTAATTCTGTGCATTTTTTTTTTTTGAGGTTACGGAGATGTTGAAAACAGTTCACGGCAAATACTTTATTTGGAGTTAGGTTAGAACATGGGCCTCGAGAAAATTAGAAATCTGTTTTAAAGTAAAGTGTACAGTAAAATGTATTGAAAAGTGTCTGAAAATGTCTGAAAACAGAGGTTTGCTACCTAATTTTTTTTGCAGTCTTTTGTGAAATCTCAGAAAAGTGTTGGTTGTATGCCAAGGTAAATTTTTTTTGGGTGCCTTTCTGCACTGGTACCATAGCAATTGTTGTGATCACCCGAGTTAATACTTGGTTATTTACAGACAATGAGGGACATTGATCATGTGCCGTGTTACGAGTGTCGTGGACATTGTCGATTTCTGAGTGTACCGGAAGGCCATAATTATATTAAGGTTATGTAACAGTGTTATTTGTAATTGACATAATATGGGTGTAGTTGTTTTAATTTTAATTGGAAGTGTTTTAGTTATAAGTTGTGGTCAGAATTGGGCAAGTGAATTTATTTGTATAACCTGTGTTGTGTTAGGCACCTGAGTATTTTGTATTTTTTGTATTGTTTCTATTAGTATGATTTTTAGTGCAAAGGGCATTAGTTCTAGCAGTGTAGACTGACTGGCATGGTCAGTAAGTGTGTTTTATGTTTAGATGAGAGCTAATACATGTATAATTTCAGCAATTGCTTTGAGGGGTTGAGGACTCTGTGGTGATATGGACATCTGTGAAAGAATGCAATCTTTGAAAATTTATTGTAGAAAATACATGTAAGGACTCCCAAGTGTGAGTACAACAGAGTACATTGTGAAGTGATAAGTGTTAAAATCATGGCAATTGAAAAGTCATTCAATACTTGTTGAGTACCGAAGGGACAGTCTCGTAAAGTATTAGCCTACCATATTACCACCGATTTTTTTTTTTGTGAGCGTGACTCAGTTATGTGTCTCAGAATTTTTTTTGGGGTTGTTGACTTCGTCAGTCGTACTGAAGTCACCCTAACATTATAAATCCCAGTTCTTATGAACTGAAGTCCGGAAATCCAGTTGCTGCCTATGTTGTCGAAAGGAAAAATCTCAGTTATGTGTGTCAGAATTTTTTTTTGGGTTGTTGACTTCGTCAGTCGTACTGAAGTCACCCTAACATTATAAATCCCAGTTCTTATGAACTGAAGTCCGGAGATCCAGTTGCTGCCTATGTTGTTGAAAGAAAAAAATCTCAGTTTATGTGTGTAGGAAGTATTTTTTTGCGGGGGGTTGTTGACTCACTCCGGGTGAGGGAGTCACCCCGACTTTCAAATACCAGTTCTGCTGAACTGTGAGATAGGAAATACGTGTCTTGTGTTATGAACCCCAATGTGTATGTCTAGAACCATGGTTTTGTGTTGAAAAGGTGAATTATTATTGAAATGAAGTAGTAATCTGAGGAAGTGTCTGATGTCACTAATTTCCCATTCATAGACAAGAATTTAAATTCCTGAGTATATGTAATTTCATGCAGAGTACTTTGTTGTATCTGTAATGTCAGAGTCACTGTTTATGTGTTAGTGCCAAAATATGTTGAGGTATTATGCTGATGAACTGTTAGGGGAATGTTCCCCATACTATATTGTACGGAAATAAGAATTGATAAGTTGTTGCAGGTATAGGTAGCGGAGACTCGAGTATGAAACGTTTGTCTCCTTAAGTTTTGTTTTATGTATTAAGGTACTGTACTCACGAACTGTTAAAATATGTCGAATGTATGTGCACTACCGCGTTAGTGCTATGTACTGTACCTCATTGTCATCCCTAAAAACCCGTTTTAATTCATATTACGCTACATAATATTCAAATCCACCGCGCTTGTAGAATCTCAGGAGCCTGTTTATCCTCGCGATCCCTCCCAGTAAGCCCCGCCTTTGTGAAGACAGTTATCAATACGTTGTTTATTCCACTTTCTCCTGGGAAGCTCAATCTTGAATTAGTCTGTGTAAATCAACCCAAGTAATTCGCCAGACCTTTGTCAACTGAGGGTCATCTTTGAATGAGTAACAGTTAGTTTGTTTGTAATTATTGTCATTGTGTGAGTAGCGATCACTGGCAACTCAGGGGTATATAAACTCGAGATGGCGAGGAATCAGCGTTCCCTGACGCTGATTCCCGTTTGTCTCCAGGTATGTTCTGTGTTTCCTAGCCATTCAGTTAATTCAGTCAATTGTAGTGATTATCAGTGTTCACCAGTGTTCATGATTTAACAGTTGAATTGTCATTCACCCAGTGTAGAAGTAATATAACGTAAATACGTCTGTCGTCTAGACAAGAGAGTTTGTTGGTGTTGTCATGTTTCTCGTTCCCTGACGCTGATTCCCGTTTGTCTCCAGATCGAGGGTGGGCTTAATTGAAACCCACCGGTCGCTCGGAGCCGGTGGATACCCAGCAGTGGTCAATATAGGAGTGATGGCGCTGATTCGGCGTGATTAATCGGCTCTACTCTACCTCGTGGGCCGAGGCCCCCAAACCCATCTCGGGTCGGAGTGTAACCGACCACAACAACAGTTGTTAGAGGCGCCAGTGTTATACCCTGGGACAGGCCTTGGAATTATGGTCCACAGTGTGGTTGTATGTGTTTTTTTTACCAGTGTGTTTTATAAGAAATAAATCAATGAAGACATGTTATGGTTTCACCCTTCTTTACCCTTATCGATCTGACCAATGGAAAACCTAACCCAATGCCTAGTCCACTCTGCCCGCTACCTAACGAGCTACATGCTGTCCAGAGGGGGTCTGGTGGCAGCGACCCTTAGGAATTAAGATTAGAGTTAAGTTATCCCCTTAGATTTAGTGACCCCAGATCTGGCAGTATACTATATTCTACAGCATTTTAGATGACGGGCATGGTGAACTGACTGCCCGGTTTGGTGAGCATAGTAGTGCAGTTTTCGCAGCAATTTCTAGTCATATGGCTAAACGACTAATTGAGAAAAAGTTTTATGGTACAGTTCACAAGGACCTTGCTAGTATTTGCATGTTAATGTATCCTTTCTGAAATGCATTCAATTACATCTACCGACTTTGTGCAGCTGCACTCACATTGGGTGCAAGCACTGCAGTATGTGAGCAATCATTCTCAACTTTGTCTCGTGTGCTCACACCATACAGACGTTCTATATGACTCGCTGTAGGAAAAGCAGCCTAGTCTTGCTTGCAGTTTTGGCTGACAATACAGTGGTCCCTCGGTTAATGAACACAATTCGTTCCAGAAGGTTGTTCGTTAACCGAAAATTTCGTTAACCGAAACCATTGTTTCAATGGGATATTGGGTAATTGGTTCCAGCTCACAGAAAAGTATATACAAAGTAAAGCCAAAAATGCATAAAGTTGGAAACACTCCTAAAATTCCCCTAAATTTCCCTTAAATCACTATACTGTATATATCATACATATACACTAGAACTCTTAAATCACTACTGTAATGTGATACAGGTGATTAATTTTATCTCTTGTGCAAAATATATAACTTTTATATTCAAATTATTCCCTGTCTTGCAAGGATTTCAGCAATGCAAATTATATTATCTTAACTTTAGTCTGAAATATTATATAAAATAAACACCTTAAAGCCTAAAGAAAACACCAAACTTTTGTCTGGGACCGCAAGGAGGGAGGGAGCCAGCTAGCGTGGGAAGAGGGGTGGGAGGTGAGGTGACAGATCGTGTCCGATGAAGTATAATTTGTTTATTTATTTGAGATATTTGTTTTTAGCTCATAAAATTCATAGAAATTACCTGGCCAGAATATAATTTACATTGCTGGAATTCTTATAAGATCGTGATTAATTTGAATATAAACAAGCTAAAATTTGCATTAGACATTCAAATTTTAGATCTAATTTAAGAATTTTATTAGGGAGAGCAAAATTTTTATCTTTTTTGCAAAATATATGACGTTTATATTCAAATTATTCCCTGTCTTGCAAGGATTTCAGCAATGCAAATTATATTATCCTGACTTTAATCTGAGGTATTATTAATTTTTAAGCCTGTAAACCTAGTCCTTTTCCCCAAATGTTTCTCAAGAATGTGGAGGGTAGGGAGGGAGGGGTGAGAGTGACATGTTTGACAGTTGGCACCTGTGGTGTGAAGTATTTAATTGTTAATTTATGTCCTTTAGATTGAGTTTTTGTTTTTTGCTTATAAAATTTAATAGAAGTGTCCGGGGTGAATTTAATTTGCATTGCTGGAATTCTTATAAGATAGTGATTAATTTGAATGTAAACATAGAAGAGATCACTGAATTGGCTGAGTACCTCCTCAGCTTATCAGCTGATGTTCAAAACAAAATGTGATTTTCGTAAGGATTTCATTAATCAAATTTTTTTCGTTAACCGAATTGAAGATTCTTATGGAAGGTAATTTGTTAACCGAGGCGTTCGTTAACCGAGGGACCACTGTACACAGAAATTGAACATTGAAGAATTCTTTTATACTTTTGCTGAAAGAAGCAAAAAACTTCAATTCCACTGAGTTGATTACGTCTATATAGAACCTTTGATTGTTGATTGATATGATTACATTATTATAGTGCATATTATTGATGTATGCATGTTACTTTCTTGAGAAGAATTCAACAACATTGAGTTAACTTTGGGTTCTTGATAAAAGTGTATTTTTTCAAATTAGCTACAGCCCATATTATTCTCTGCATGTTACTTCCTGAGGAAAAAGCAATTGTATTCAGTTGACTGTTTCAGAGTAGCACACATTATTGATATTATTACATATTAGTCTTGTGAAAAAATCAGTGAAGTTATTCTTGTAGATTAGTTTTTATTAACAAATGACTTCAATTTGGGAGTATTATGAGCAATGAAAATATCTTATATGACAATGCCTTAAATAAGGAATGCTGGCAATGCTGCCCCCCCTAGACTTATGAATCTGACGACAGGCCTGGTTCATTGTGTGTACGTTCTGGTAAGGTGACAGGTATTCAACTCTATTTTAAATAAACTATATGGTCTGTTGGGAGTATCATTCTCCTGCAGTATTTGCCTTTGTTTCCTCACCATACCTTGATACCAGTATATACAAATGAACCACGTGCCCCAGACCTCGTCATGCTACCACTGGTAAGAGGATAAAGATTATCTATATAAGAAGTAAAATAACTAAGAAATAGAAGAAACTGAAAGAAAGAGAAGTTGAAGTAGAAAATAAAACATAGAAACCAGTAGAAAGAAAGATAAAATTAAAGTAATTCCCCCCCCTACAGGTTTACATCACAAATAGGGGAATGGTCTTAGTCATCAACATCGTTAATGTGAAATATCACAGAGATCAAGGGAGACCTACTTTCTTATAGAGAAAAATATTACTGTATATAAACTTGGTTGGTTTGTGTTTACACCACATTATTTGCATACTGTATTTATGTCAATTTCCTTATGTTTCCTTGTACATTCTTCAACTCTGGTAGACAACTGATGAGTGTTTATTTTCAACATTTCTTCACACCACATCACTGGTCAAAGAACAGACTTCTTATTCACAGCTGATTAGGTTTTCAAGATGCAAGTGAATATTCCAAGTAGCATTCATCTCTGTGAACCTGAAGACTGGATGGTTTTCAAAACTACCCAAAGGACTGGGAATTCAATACACTAATTTAATCCTGGTTCATTGGGTAAAGAGCTGCTCTCCAGTAATTTACACTGATTCTATATGCAGGGTAATTTGGCTCTAGACAAGTGAGAGACCCCAGGACAAGGCAGACTTTGATAGAAGGTTCTAGCTAAAAAAAATCACATGGTACCCTTAGCTAATACATGCCACTGATGACTCTATGTAAACAAAATAATAATAAAAAAAAGTACATCTACTGAACTATAATATGCCCTCTGTATTCATACTCAGCATCCATCTTTTCTGTGGGAGCAGGTATCAATTCTTCCCTTAAGCCAGAATCAGTACAACACTTGGCTTCTTGTTGAATATTCAAGATACTTTCACTGCCTTCTGGTTCCCCTCCTTTTTGAGACTCTTCATCACTACAGTAACCAGAAAGAAGGCGAGGAAGATCACGTCGCAGAGTTCCTTTGTCCTTGCGAGGCTTACGAGGTTTCTCTGAGGTGTAGGTTCGTTTGTAACTTGGGCCATGAGTTGTCGTGTGTTGTATCAATTTTTGCTGAAAAATAATGATGTTTGTTTAGAATATTTAAACAGTAATTTTCAAAGGAAAAAATATTTACACAATACTATGTACAGGTACTAAATACTTAGAGAATATTGTCAACACAATTGCAAATGAAAAGCTCATATCCCTTCTACAGTAGGTTGTGTATAGTACTGTCAGCTTTAGGACTGCTACAAAAGCTCTATAAATTAGACAGATAAGCACCTCAAGGAAAGTAAATCTTATTTCATTGCCATTTATTAAACCTGGAATATTTTGGCTTCGACCTTCTTCACCACACTGTGCTACAGTGTTTTCCTGAAGAGATCTTAGCAAACGTATTATGCTGTTTTGTGCAGGTATTTACGTTTTGGTCAACTGAAACCTGTGTGTGTGTGCACACAGAGGGTGGTGTAATGCATCTAGTGTGGCAGCACTGCTTGCTTCCTCTTGCTTTCAGCTACTGCCACTGGCTAGCCCTTGTAGTGAACAGGGAAGCAATTTGCATAAGTCCTCCCCTGCCAGTACACATCCTCTTCACCATCAAGTCTCTTGCTGTGCCTCCTCGTGGTAACACATGGTAACTGGGTGACTTGTGGGCCCAGGCTAGACCAGCAGTGGGCCCCAGAGAATGGCACATAGACCCACTGGCATGGGGACACACCCTGGCACCTGCCCCCACTGCCTTGCGGATTAACCTTGGTAGGTAAAAGGCAACGGGAGTAAACCCCGAACAAAAAATCTGCAGTGAAGCCCTGCATCAGACAGACATGCTTACAGAGCTCCAACAAGAACCCAACAGCAGTATAGGCGGAAAAGGTGACCACCATAGGAACCCAATGACCACACCGGCGGACGAAGGCAAAGTATAATGAACAAGCTCCTAAGGTGAAAACCAACAAACTGAGCTAACAGGAGTTCATTGAAACTCTCCCTCTCCCCACACCCAGCAAGGCCATCCTTATGCAGTCTAAAACACAATCATAATCACAGATCAAAACAAAAACAAACTATAAAACCTCTTATGGTCGCTGCATGGAATGTTGGATATTCTCGATATTGTTGTGACAAAAAACCTGCAGAGAGACCCTCGGCCAGATCAAAAGAATATACCAGGACTGGTTTGATGAAAATGACCCAGAAATCAATGTACTCGCTGATGATATACATGTAGCTTTAACCATTTGGCAGAAGAACCCTCAGTCTCGGACCAAAGTTGATACCTTCAGCAAGTAGCGGTGGCCCAGCGAGAACTTTCAATCTAAAGAACGACTGGTTAAAAAATAAAGCATGTGAAACTCAATAAATTGCAGATCAACACAAGATGCGCAAATTTTTTAAATTCCAAAAAAACATTTTATGGGCCAATCACTCATGGCGCAGCCCCCCTCCGCTAACTCGAAGGTAACTCCCAAATTAAGGAAGGCATCCTACAGCACTAGAAAGAGCACACCATTCGCTGCTCAACTTAAACACCGATGTAGATGTCCTGACTACCCAGCAGGTCCCTCAGCATCCAAAGCTGACCCACCTAAGCAATCCTACATCACTGGATGAGGTAGCTACTGTCATCAAACAGATGAAGAATAACAAAGCCTTAGAGCCTGAAGGAATCTCAGCCTAGGTATATAAAGCAGGAGGACCTCTGCTTATCAGCCGTCTCCACTCTCTCCTAGAGAATATATATGGGAAAAGGAGGAAATCCCCCAAGCCCTTAAAGACCTCCATCGTCAATATTTATAAGAACAAGGGAGACCGGTCAGAATATGGTAACTACCTTATGTTTTGCTGCTGTCTGTACTGGCAAGATTATTGCCCAAGTCCTCCGAAACAGATTTATTCCTGAGGCGAAAAACTTCCACCCAGAATCTCAAAGTGGCTAAGACCATCACGTGGCACCACTGACATAATCTTTGCTGCCCGCCAGATACAAGAAAAGTGCATAAGGTCTTCGACTCAGTCAACTGGGAAACCCTCTGGCAGACCCTCAACCGTTTGGCTGCCCACTAAAATCATCGCCATTGTGAGTCAACTCCATGATGGCATGAACGGCAGTGTCCTGCACAATGGCATTCAGTTGGAGTTCTTCCTCATCCAAACAGGGGAAAAATACGGATGTGTACTAGCACCAACTCTCTTTTCCATTTTCTTGGCTGGCTTCCTTAATTGAGCCAGTGCCAATTTAACCAGTGGGGTAGACATCAAGTACTGGATGAAGTGTCTTTTCAACAAACGACGACTCCAGGCAGGAACAAAGACGTTGGCAGCTTCCATTACTGAATTTCAGTATGCAGACGACCTCAACCCTGTCACTCACACTGAACGCGACCTACAGGAGACCCTCAACACCTACGCAGATGCGTATGCACATTTTGGCCTTGAGGTGAATGTATCTAAGACTCAGATTCCCTTTCAGCCTGCCCCTGGTTCAGTCACACCTCCAACATCCATCCAGCTTAATGGTACTACCCTCTCTAATGTTACCCACTTTCAGTATCTCGGCTCCCATCTGTTCACCAGAGTGGACATCGCTAAAGAGATTCAACATCGGATCAGATGTGAATCTCAAGCCTTTGGCAGACTCCGTACCCGTGTCTTCAGCTGTAGGAAGCTGAAATTATATAAAAAGTTGCATGTGGTCCTCCCCACCCTGCTACATGACAGTGAGACATGGGTCACACAAAAGAAGCACCTCAGGGCACTTGAAAACTTTCACCAAATAGTCTATTCTCCATCCTCCAAGTTCGCTGGGAAGGCGAGAACAAATTCCAGTACAGTATAGTCTGGGTTTACGCGGATATTTTATACGCATTTGGTAGGGTGTGACAGTTGCCCTAACTTTGTCCTACAATGCTGTTAAAAATTTTGGTGTTACATATTGACATAAAAAATACCCACGTGCAATTTTTTGAAGATTCATGCATATTTGAGTGAGCACCAGCAATTTGAAAAATAGCGATTTTGCTTATACAGCATACGCGCCAATACAGTAGTACCCCGCTTAACGCGGTCAATAAAACCCACAGGGTACCGTGTTAAGTGAAAACCGCGCTAAGTGAACAACAGAACATATGGGATTAATTCCAATAGAAACTGGCCCGATCCCCAAACTCCACTTTTTCCGACACAATACCTATGTTCTAGTAAAAATAACATCTTAATTTTATGATGGTACATGCACACAATTAATACTTAAGAGAAATACAGTCGCCAAGTTAATGTCCATTCAAATAATGGACTCCACTCCCTCCCCCTCTTCTCACACTACACTGCTGGCTCTTCCCTCTCTGAGAAATTTTGGGGGGAAAACCACTAGATTTTAATAAATAATACCTCAAACGTCGTTAATCCAGCCCATGGATCAGGAGTTGATTTGCAACGTGAAGGCTGCTTTCTCCACAAAGAAGTTTCGTCTCCTAAACGACTTCACCAACACCAAGGATGAATTGAAGAACCTCCTGAGTGGCACCGATAGCGAGAGCGAGAACGAGGATCTAGAACAAGATATGGCGGACCATGAAGTGCGAGTCAAGCAGTTCTGGAAACTGTTTAACGTGAAGAAAGCTGTTAATTTCTTGGTGGAGGCATGTGTTGGAGGGTATTCCAGGTGGGAGGCAGAGGCAAGCGGTGGCTGGTGAGGCTGAGTCTGTTGCTGTGGCATTGGACATTGCAAGAGAGGCTGCACAAAGTGTTAGAGCTGCAGCCTTCTCCGAGACCACCAACTACGACATCCTGGAGGTAATCAGGAAACCTGAGGTGACTGCGGACGAGATATTGGAAGATGATGACGTCAGTGAGCAGCCAGGTGTTACGGCGGAAGAACAAGAGCAAAAACTAACACATGGTGATGTCAAGGAGGTCATCGAGTTTGCTGAGAAAATGAAGCTCATCCTTGCCAAAGACCCAGTCAATCATCGCTATGAAGTGTCTAATAACCATCTGTTGAAATGCCTGGAGCCCTATGTTCAGATGTATCACGACCACATCAATGCTAGCTGTCAACAAAACATTACCGAGTTCTTCACCCGCAACCCACCACAGCCGGCCCAAGTCAGTGATAGTGAGGATATGGACTTTGAGGGGTTTGACAAAGAGGCCCCGCTAGCCTCTGTGGTGGATAGTGATACAGGTGATACAAGTGATACAGGTGAGGGCCAATAATCTGACTTCTGCCTCGGAACCAACCCCCCATCCTCATGTGCCCAACCATCTTTTCTACAAACGTAAGTGTTAAAAAACCTAATATTATTGATATTTCTTTTATATATTAATTGTGTGTGCATACCATCATAAAATTAAGATTTTTTTTACTACAACTTACGTATTGTGTCGGAAAGAGGGTAGTCTGGGGGTCGGCCCAGTCTCTATTTCAATTAATCCCATATGTTCTGTTATTCTGTTTAGGCGTTTCACGTTATACACGGACCTCCATGGGTTCAATTGACCGCGTAAACCGACTATACTGTATTCTCGCTGACACCAACTGTAGGATCATTGAGGCTACCATTATCCATGAACAACTACATTGGACTGGTCATGTTACCCGCATGGATGACAGTAGACTGCCAAAGCAGCTAGTTTACCGTCACCTAACGAATAGTAAATGTAATGCTGATGGACAACTGAAAAGGTATAAGGATAGTCCTAAGACAAATCTGAAAAAGTGCCAAATTGACCCCCTCACCTGGGAGACGATTACTCCACACCGTAACGCTTGGAGGAGCACCACACGAGACGGTGTCAATACTTTTGATTTAGCCCAACTGCAACCCTTCTGCACTAAATGTAGCCATCCATACGTGCATCATCTGTGGACGACCCTGACGGTCCAGAATCAGCCTCTTAAATCACCTTCAGAGCTCACCAGTGAAGGTCACATCCTTAATAACTCATATAATTTTATCATAGCTGGATGATCATCATACTCAATTTTGAGTGACAGCAGAGTAGAGAGAGTGTGTAATAATAATAATAAATGGTTTATTAATAGAGTTGCAGTGTGTGCGTGTCAC